TTAGGCCCCGTGTGATAAGGTCCCAAGTCACTGTCTTTCCATGCCAGTTGATGTCTTGCAATTCAGGGTTAGTAAAAGCAGAGTAGATAAAGAGTAAACAGAGCCAGCATGGCATAGTGGTTTGAGTGTTGGACTACAACTTTGGAGACCAGGGTTCGATTCTCAGCTTGGCCATGAAACCCATTGGGTGACCTTGGGCAAGTGACATGCTCTCAGCCTCAGGGGAAGACAATGGCAAATCTTGCCACAAAAACTCCATTGAGCCTTAGGGTCGCCATAAGTCAGAAATGTCTTGAAGGCATACAGCAACAACAACAAAGCATAGTACTGTAAGGCCTTCAGTTCTGAATTACTCTTCTCCAGTGTGCCATAATAATGTTTGTAAACTTCCTTTCTGCTGCAAATGGGATGTCCCAGCCCCTTCCCATCTGCTTTTAAGGCTCTCCTTAGTTTTCTCATTCTTCTTTCATGTTTCCAGCTCTCGGTGCTTCATGCCCAAGAAAAAGACTGCGAGCCCATTGCAAAGTTTGTGCTTGCAGTATGTGGCTGAACATATGGAAGACATCGGGGTCAGGGATCATGACACAGACAATGTGGGTGACTGCCAACCTTGTGACACCATGGGACCCTTCCACATGTGTGGTGAGAATCACAGGGCAAGCGGGAGGAGGGTTTCAGAGGCGTCAAAGGGGGTTTGTGCTGCCGTTGAGTCACTCACTGGGTCAAGGCAGCCCTTAGGTACTGCACTACAGTCTGGGCAAGTGCTAAAAACATCAGGTGGTCAGGTTATTCATTTATTAAAATACTTTTATCCTGCCCTTTTTTCATGAGAGCTCAGGGTAGTGGTAGTGAGCTGAGCCTCTGCCATGAGGCAGATAGGTTTGCTGAAGCTTAAAATTAGAAAGAGACAGTGTGGCATAATGGTTAGAGCATTGGACTATGACTCTGGAGACCTCGGGCCAAGTCATACTCTCTCAGCCTCAGAGGATGGCAATGGCAAACCCCCTCTGAACAAATCTTGCCAAGTGATAGGGTCAACATAAGTTGGAAACTGCTTGAGGGCAAACAACAACAACAAAATTGCAAAGCATTGCTGTTCCACTGTGGCACAGTAGTTTAGATTTACCCCCAAAAATCATTGCCTGCCAGATGTTAATTAATAATAATAATAATAATAATAATAATAATAATAATAATAATTTATACCCCGCCCCTCTGAGCTCAATCGGGGCAGCTCACAAGTAATAAAAATACTTGTGCTTTTCGGTCCCTTCAGCCCCTGCCAGCATGGACAATAATCAGTAATTCCACGCATTGCAATCCAGAACGTCTGGAAAGTACTATGGGGGCAATGATGGAGGCCACCTGGAGCCACTTTGCAGAAAGGTTTCCCTCCCATTCTTAGTTGGGTTTCTTGGCTTGTATCTTCCAAGCAGAGTGCCTGCCTGAGAAATTAATCCCTCCACCCCATCCCAGGACATGCTGATTCTCCAGTTATCTCTGGGTCACACTCTCTTAGCCTCAGAGGATGGCAATGGCAAAGACAACCCCCCTCTGAAGAAACTAGCTAAGAAAACCCCATGATACGTTTACCTTAGGGACACCATAAGCTGGAAGACACCTGAAGGCACAGAACAACAATAAAACAAAATCTTTGCTCTTTCCAGCTGACTTCTTTGTCCAGGAACTCTTCACGCTAATGAGAAAGAAAGAAAGTATGACTCCTCCTGTGTTACGCTCCCTCCTCGTGCCACTGCTGACAGAGCTGGATCTCAGCTTCTGCCCATACCTGGTCAACAGGTCACTTGTCCAGATGATCATAGTGCGCTGCAAGGTAATTGGGGTGTGTGTATACATGTATGCGTCTACTTTTTGGACAGGTCCTGTGTCTCAAAGAGAGTTCTGTTCCTGTTCTTTTCTTGCCTCTATGGGCCCCTTCTTCCTTCTGGGGCTTTGTAGGGCACAGCATCCCTTGCTTGATACTGGTTAACAAGATAAATATATTTTAATTTATTTATTTCAAGGATTTATATCCCACCTTTCTCCCACAATGGGATTCAAGGCACAGAATACTGCATAATGGGCTTTTCCATCCAGGATAAATGCAGGAGATGATCATATTTATATACTGTACATATTGTACAACCTTAAGTACTGTACATACTCTACAACAGGGGTTGGCATACCTTTTTTGTGGGGGCGGGGTTCCGCTGTCCCCCAGATCGTCAGTGGGCCAAAGGAAATAAAATGGTGCCGGAGGTGTGCTTGCACTCACGCTCATGCACGCATGTGCACTACTCCTGGCGTTGTGCGCATGCATGTGTGGGGTTCCATTTTGTGTTCCAAAATGGTGCCTGCACTCACGCATGCATGCACACTACTCCCGCCATCGTGCACGTGTGCATGAGCACGGGGCACCATTTTATGTTCTAAAATGGCCCCCGCGCTCGCGCATGCACGCACACGACGCCAGGAGTAGTACACATGCATGCATGAGTGCGGCTGCAATTTGGGAACACAAAATGGCACCCTGCATCGCGCCGTAGTTTGCCGACCCCTGCTTTACAACCTTAAAAGAAAGATCCAAATGATGCTATGCCTTTCAGATGTTGTGTGGGGCCTATTTCTCTTCCTTTTTTGAAGTCTTCCAAATTATTTGGTTCCTTCCTACCTGACAGGTGAAGATATTCTTATTCCCCCCAGCCCCAGGATTAAAAACAAACAATACATGAGGTAGTTACGTGGAATGTGACAAAGTAGATGTGAGAGTCAGCATGGTGTAGTGGTTTGAACATTGGACTGTGACTCTGGGCAGCAGGGTTCAAATCCCTGCTCAGCCATGAAAATCCACTGGGTAACCTTGGGTAAGTCACAATCTCTCAGACTCAGAGGGTGGCGACGGCAAACCCTTTGTGAAGAAACATGCCAAGAAAACTCTGTGATAGCAGCCTTAGGACTGCTATAAGTCAGAAATGGCTTGAAGGAAGAGAACACACACATCCAATCCTTTAGGCCTCCCTATTTTCAGGATGCTTCCACCCCCTGCCCTAATTTTTCTCCACTCTTCCTCATCCCAGACAGTCTCCTTTTCATGTTTTTGATTGCTTAAAATTATCTCTATAGTTATAATGCTAATGTGATAAACTTTAATAGTGCTATTCTTATGTTATTTTCCTTGGAGCAAGATAACCACTATGCACATATATTGTCCGTGTCAACTTGAGACATTGGAGAAGACTGTCCAGGGAGAGAGAGCTGTAGGGTGTGTGTATGTTTGTGAGTGTAAGAGAGAGAATGAGCGAGGAAGGGGATCTTGCCCAGAGCAAACTCAGAAATAATAGTGCCATTACTTGTTACCATTTTAGCACTATACCTCTAGAGAGGGGAAAAAGAGACAAAAACAAGGAGATGTTGGGGAAGAAACCAAAGAAAAGCATGTGAGGATTGCAACAATTTGAAAACACATCTGGGGGCTGACATCTTATGTCACAACCCACATCACCCACAAGTTGCCCCGTTATTGTTCTTTTTAAGTTCAGGAGATCTTTTGCAGGAGGAACTGATAAGAAATGTTAAGGAATGGCATTAAAGGGTGCAATACAAATTGGTGTATATTGTCAATCTGGCTGGGCCCAGTGAAAACAGTCAAAACATATAGTTTATCACACAGGGGAAATTGGGAGTTTAAACAGCGATTAACCTGTGAAAATTGCACAACTGACATTAAAACATGCTTAAAACGACATTAATGCAAGTGCCATTATCTCATGAAGAACCAGGGAATAACTAGGCAATAAACATCAAAAAGTCATTAACAGGAAAATTTGGTGAATGAGTTACTACTGTTTCTTGCCTGGTTCTTCATGGGATAGTGGTACTTTAATCGTGTTTCGTCTCAATGTCATGTGAAAACCATTTGCACACAAGTGCGGGTTAATCATGGATTCTGCACGGGATAATAGAGCTTTGTGTGTGAAAACCATTTGCACAATTGCGGATTAATCATGGGTTAATCACCATTTATACTTCCAATTTTCTCCCATGTGATAAACTCCATAGGCAGTTCAAGCAAAAAAAGAGAGTGTAAGCACTGAGGTTTTCACTGGCCCGTGAACATGACTAGTTCTTTGAAGTGATGACTGTGGAAGCTTACCCATCATTGGCTTTGTTGTGACATGAGCCCATGAGAGTAGATGTCCACTGTGGCATATTTGGAAGATTATACATGTGGCTTTTAAACCATGATTAATCCCATAAAAAAGTGGCTTTGGCAATACTTAACTGCATGACAATGCCTCCAACCCAGGGGTAGGCAACCTTTTTGAGCCGGGGGCCGGGTTGCTGTCCCTCAGACAATTGGAGGGCCGAGGCATCAAAAATAAATGAATAAATAAATAAAATTTAAAAACAATTTTTAAAAATTTTTTAAAAAATATGCATGCACACTCTCTCGGCCCCAGAAAAGCCATGGCAAAACTCCTGTGGAGAGTTTTCCAAGAACCCCAAGAACAAGTAATAACAACAATAATCAATATCATCATGGCGGGCGGCGGCAGCGACAGAACTGGCCTGGGGCCGGTCCAAAGGCCTCGGGGGGCCACATCCGGCCCCCGGGCCTTAGGTTGCCTACCCCTGCTCCAATCTGTAGCTGCTGTGTCCCTTTCTTTTCCTTGATGGGGGAAACCTGTAAATGAGCTCCAATCACGCAACTCCCCACGTACGAAATATTGCCGCCAGGGCAGCTGTGGTATTGGCAGTCATGTGGTGTCAGTGTCTTTTCCTCTCCCCCTGTCCCACCTCCCTCTCCCTATTCTCAAGTATATTGTTGTTTTTAAACTTCAATTGCAGCAGCAGATTAAAATTGAAAAATAATTAAAAACAAAATAACTGAAAGGCATGCTGGGCAGAGCACAAGGCAGAATCATAGAATCATAGAGTTGGAAGAGACCACAAGGGCCATCCAGTCCAACCCCTGCCATGCAGGAACTCCCAATCAAAGCATCCCCAACAGATGGCCATCCAGAGAGATGTGGTTATGGGGGAGTCAGGAAGAGAGCATGTTGGTAGGAGTGGTACGATGGTGAAGATGTGCGATAGTGGCTGCTCTGCCCCCGGTATGTTTCCATTTTCTTAAAAAAAATGCTGTGAGAACGGGATGCATGTGGTACTTCCCTTGGAGTGGCCACCAGTTTGGACATTTCAGTGACAGCCAGCATGGCATAGTGCTTTCAGTGTTGGACTATGACTCTGGAGGCCAGGGTTTCAATCCCCACTTGGCCATGAAACCCACTGGATGACCTTGGGCAAGTCACAAGCTCTCAGCCTCAAGGGAAGGCAATGGCAAACCTCCTCTGAACAAAACTTGTTAAGAAAACTCCTTAGGTTCACCATAAGTCTGAAATGACTTGAAGGTACATAATGACAAACGACAAAAACCCATCAGTGCAGCAGATGGATCAGTGGATCGACAGGGACTTCCTCTTCCAGTGTTCAGCTCTTTTCAAAAGGCCAAACCCATGATGAGAATAAACCCCCTCAGGGTAACTGTGAATATAGGAAAACAATCCAGAAAAAAGAGTTTAAAGCTATAGTCTGTAGAATCAGTATGTAGAGAGATCTTGTAACACCTTTGAGACTAACTAAAAGAAAGAAATTGCAACATGAACTTTCGTAGACTAGATTTTCATTAAAAAAAGAGGTGTTTGTGTGTGCCCCCCCCCATAGATCATATTAGTGTGTGTGTGGCTAGAGGGGTGATATTTTCAAATGTGCTTAGTGTGCAAATCAAACCAAACTTTGCTTTTCCTCACTGATTTGTGTGTTTTCTTTAATTGTTGCATCCTGTGGCAGAATCTGACCATACTGAATCTCTCTCGCTGTACTGAGATCCCTGCAGAAGCTTTGGTTGACCTGGTGAAAGCATTCCCTCGCCTCCAAAGTCTAAACCTCTCACGGACTCAGTGTGACACCCAGGTATTGTTGGCTGTGCGTTCCTACTGCCAGAGGCTTCAGGACCTGAACATCTCATATTGTGAGCGGCTGTCTCCAATGTCTCTCCTCCATCTGGTCTATGACCCCATTGCTGGATCCCACTGCAGCCAGGCATTAAAGACCCTCACAACTGGTCCACAGGGCCCTGGGAGAAACAGGAATGCAGTGCTCTGGTCTCTGGTCTTTGTGCTGCTGGCATTGCCCAACCTGGAAGGGCTGTTTCATGATTTCCATGTAGTTGCTGTATGCCTTATCTACTACCAGGAGTTTGACAACACCCATATCCCTCCTGGGTTCCCCTCTCTAGAGCGTTTGGCCCGTAGAAGGAGGTCCAACCCCTTGAATGAGAGCAGCTCCGAACTCACGGTGGGCCTCAGGCTTATATATGAACTCTATGAAGATTTTTGGCCTATGGTCTATTCTGTGTGTCCAAACATGAATGCGGCTTCAATTATCCTAAGTGGTAGATCTGCCTTGGACCAAAGCTTCTGGCGCTGCTCCAACCTTACTAAGCTTAGTATCAGAAGCAGGGAGCCCATGGACATGAGGGAGGTTTTGCCCGTTGTAACAAGCCTCAAGGCTCAGCTTGAGCAACTCTTACTCGGTGGCTTCTCTTTTGTAGATGAGCTCTCTTTCCACGCTTTGCTGCACCATTGCGTGAATCTTCAGACACTAAAAATTGTGTACTTCTCCCCATTTGTGTGTTACCCTGGAAGCCCAACAAATGCGACGCCCATCCGCTGGGACCTCAACCTTCTTCCCCGTGGGATGCCAAATCTTCGTGGGTTTGTCTTGTCACAGGCTGATGCGGAGAATTCCCTCCCTTACTGGCATGGGTTGCAGCTGAGAGAGTGCCTTGAATCTCTCCTGAAACATTCGCCATGCCTGGAAGAGGTGGGATTGTCCTACCTGTCTTTTAATTTGGACCAAACTTTTCAGAATGTGCTGGCGGCCACCCCTGGCACCGCCCTGCGAAACCTACGCAAGCTCACTTTAGAAAAAGTGAACGTATCCTTCAACACCATCCAACAGCTTTTATTGTCGGACAATGAGCTAAGCTGCCTCAAGTTGTTTTTATGTTCTGAGATCAACGAGGAAATGTATGACAATCTCCTTAGGATAGTTAGAGAAGAAAACCTGGAGGTGGATATTGAATGGAGGTGAAAATCCCACCAACCCACCCCAGTGTGTAAGGGCAGCTCACCTTGGGCTGAGACCTAGTGTGTGTGTTTTAATAAAGTTTGTTTTACACAATTTCTTTCTTTTTATTTCCAGGATTTATATCTTGCCATTTTCCCACAGTGGGATTCAAGGCGGGTGATAAACGTTTCATCTCTGAAGTTCAGAGTTCAGGACAAGTAGGAAATACAGTGGCATCTTTCCAAGTATAGGCCAACCATTGTTGCATGTGTTGCACCAGGCAGGGTGACGAGGCGTCCTCCTTTTCCAGGACATGTCCTCTCTTTCACCCTTCTGTCCAGGAGGAATTCCCAAATATCTGCCATTTTGAGTATCACTAAGAATAATTAATTTAAATTTATATGATTGGGGTTTTTTTTTTGCTTTGATTTTAGAATGTCTTCCATTTTTCTTGAATGTGCAACGTTTTGCAGTCCTTTGTTCTCCTTTGCGGTTAGGACATATCTGGGTACCCCATGCACCAGAGTTGTGTTCTGGGCTTCCTAGCCGCACTCCTCTACATCTCTCCTTGCTTGGCTAGCTTGTGGTAGGAAGAGCCTTGCTGGATTAGACCAAGAGTCTGGACGTTATCACACGGGGCAAATCTGCTGGTTAATCCACACAAAT